AGCCTGCGGGCTCCTGAACCGCCAAAAACAACGGGAATGCTCTTCCGTGCGCGTTTGGTGCTGTCAAATTGATGTGTTGCGATTGGACCGTCAGCACCCAAATTCGACGTTGCATGCTGTTGGCCAAGGTGATGGGATAGCCTCGGATATCCCATTGGTCAGTAAGCGCCCACAGTCTCTCCCAAACTGGCTTTTATGGCTTCATATTGTTCACCTTTTTTGCCCGTGACATCGTCATCATTCTGCCCATCCCGGCAACAAATTCCAGCCCCGTTTTTTTTTTTTTTTTTTCTTCGACATCGGCCCCGCGTCCTTAACAAGGCAGGACTTCCCGGTCCACAGCGGACGCAAAGACAAAGATGGGAAGGTGAAAGATACAACGCGCCAGCGTCGATAAGCGGTCAGCCAGGAGGGCCCTCTCCGCACCTCTCCCTTCCTTGGCTGACGTCTCGGTAACAGTGCAAACATAGCAGCGCAGACGGGGCATCATGACGGACACGCCGCTCGATGAACAGGAGGAGCAATGTCCGTCGTGCCGATGCAATTCCGAGCTGCCGCCGTGTCATTATCGGCCATCAGCGGCGACTTTATTTCGCCCACTTGCCTCCGTTGCCCTTCTGCCGACGTCACTCCACCCTACCCGGATCCTCCGGAAGGGCAGTCCTGACTGAGAGCCACAAGGCTTACAAACAACGGTGGGCCGGCCTTTCCGACTTGAACGACACAGCGTTTGCCCGGGACCCGCAGACAGTCATGGCATGGAGCCCGCTGGGAGGAATGGAGGCTGGCGACCTGCGTCTCGCGGCATGGCCACACGTCGGGTTGGCCAGGTCCCCGGCGGACCCGGCTTGTTGCCTCCTCCTCCTTTCGCTGGCATGCGGTGACAGATCATGGGGCCCCTCTCTGGATGGAGCACCGCGGTATATAACGAAGCGCTCGAGTCTTTTCTCGTCATGCCGTCTGCTGTCGCTGTTGCTTTTTTTTTTCAACCCACTTCGGTCCTGAGACGGCCATTCTTCAACCATCACCATTCCCGCTGCCAACACCAACAGTCCTTTGACCATCCAGAGCGTGCCTATCCGTCCCCACCGACACACACCCGCTCTAGCCCTCTAGGAGCCCACCCACTTACCTGCCTATCCCAACACGCAGCTGTTTCAAATAAACATGGCCGCCACCAAGGACTACACCTTTCAAGGCTGGCTCGGCAAGAGCTCCGAGGCGGCCAAGGGCAAGATGGAATGGGGCACGTTCGAGCCTAAGAAGTGGACCGAGGAAGACGTCGACATTCAGATCACACACTGCGGTGTATGCGGCTCAGATGTGCATGTCCTGGGCTCTGCATGGTTCCCTACCCCGTATCGTACGTAATGATGCAATTTTCCCCGACACCCGCTCGCTCCCGCTGTGTCACATCCCCTCCCCCACACCGCAAGCTAGGGGCTAGGACTAGGACACAAGGCACTGACTCTGAACGAAACATCAGCCTGCTGTGTCGGCCACGAGATCGTCGGGCGGGCCGTGCGCGTCGGCGCCAACGTCAAGGACGTCAAGGTCGGCGACCGTGTCGGCGTGGGCGCGCAGGCACGCAGCTGCCTACGCGACGACTGCCCCGAGTGCTCCAGGGGCATGACTCAGTTCTGCTCGACGCCCGGCCAGTTCGTCAACACGTACGGCAGCGTCTACCCGGACGGCGAGGGCAAGTCGTGGGGCGGCTACTCCGACTACAACCGCACCAACGGCAACTTCGTCTTCAAGATCCCCGACGGCCTGGCGTCGGAGCACGCGGCCCCGCTGCTGTGCGGCGGCGCCACCGTGTGGGCGCCGCTGAAGGAGAACGGCTGCGGGCCTGGCAAGTCGGTGGGCGTCGTCGGCGTCGGCGGCCTGGGCCACATGGCCGTCATGTTCGCAAAGGCCATGGGCGCCGACAAGGTCGTCGGCATCTCGAGGCGGCAGAGCAAGCGCGACGAGGTCCTGGCCATGGGCGCCGACGCCTACATCGCGACGGCCGACGACTCGGACTGGGCTGCGCGCAACAAGCGCACTCTCGACCTTGTCATCTGCACCGTCTCGTCGGGCGGTATGCCCTTCAACGAGTACCTGGGACTGCTGCGGCCCGGCGGCAGCCTCATCAACGTCGGCGTCCCCGAGGCCGGTGCGTTGCCGGCGGTCAACACCACCATGCTCATTCTCAACGGGATCAAGCTTGGCGGCAGCCTGATCGGCAGCCCCGCTCAGATCAAGGAAATGCTCGAGTTTGTCGTCAAGCACAATATCAAACCAATTATCCAGACGAGGCCCATGGCCGACGCCAACAAGGCCGTCGTGGATTTGGAGGAGGGCAAGGCGAGATACCGCTACGTGCTTGTCAACGAGAAGCACTTATAAATCATGGGAGACTTGAATTAGGCTTGTTTTCCTCCGCCCTTCCTCGGGCCCTCGGTCTGCGGGATGGTCGAGAGTGCGTATCGCATGGCTTGGGTTTGAGGGCCGGCGTCGATCATAGCGGGTTTTTAGATAGGAAGAAAAAAGATACCTAGAATAGGAAACACATACATACACCAGACTTGGCGTAGATGTTCTATGTCGAGCTGCCTCTTGTTTCGCGGATAGCAACAGAGGCAAGCCAATGGTGATGATGACGACGATGGCGATGATAGAACAGGGGCTACCGAGGGACGGCATTGTGTGACCAGATTAAAAAGGGGCACGAAAGTCTGATCAATGACGCCACCGCGCCCATTGAGAGACTTCGCGGGTGAGTAACAGCCGCGCTTGCCGCCCCTGACTTAAAACCCGATTGGTCCAGCGCTTGGTTTTTTTGGCTGATCCCAAACAGTGGGAAACAGGGGCACCACAATGGCCGGAAAAAGCAACTACGCGAACGGCGACCTTTTGGCCCAGCACCAGGATTTCGGCCCCCAGAAGGTTCAACTATGATACCGGACGACTCGTGAGACGGCTGTGCCTGGAAGCATGGGATGTTAAGCATGGGATGGCCTAGGGATGGGAGAGGGTCAACTTTGGCCTCAAAGAAGCTTGCTTGTTGTTAATCTTTGCGCGAGTTTCCAACCTTTAAAAAAAAAATCCCTATCAACCGATATATCAATTGCACAGCTCTGTTCCTGGTTAGGTGACGCGGCCATGTGAACAGCGACGACCCTGGATGACGGGCTCTTTGGCACACGCTTGAGTGGGTACGGCAGCGCGGCGGCATCTGTGCGTTCCGGCGATCCGACGATGCTCAAACGTCGCCTGCATCAAAGGGGGCTCAACTGCGCGAGCCCACCTTTCCGTCCAGCGGGTCGATCGCCCGCACCCTCTTGTTTCCGGGGCTGGCAAGCAAGGGCCTTGCTGCTCTCACTGGGTGGTGGCGAGCAAGCGGGCTGGGACGTACCGAAAGTAAAAAAGACCACCCCCCTTTTGCCTTGTCTTGCCTCCATGCAAGCTTGCATCCCATCTCGACAAACAAAGCCCTGGGTCCGGCTTCGCTCTCCCACGGAGGCTCCGCTTTCGTTTCTCCGTCCGGGCTCCGAGCGGTTTTCTTTTTTTGACGTGACATGCTCGCTGAGGCCAGTGGTTGTGATTACCATAAATGTGACGCCTGTCCCGTCCTTGATCCCCAGGGTCCAATTCTTGGCTCGCCTCCTCTTCCCCTCCATCACGCAAAGCCAGCCCGTTCCTTCACTTCACTTCGCTTCTCACCTACCGTTTCTTTGGTAGCAGGTCTTTTTCAAGCATCAGTGCCGGTCACTCACTTTTCCTCTCTCTGTCTTTCTGTTTGTTTCGAACAGCCGCACGCACTCCTTTCCACACAACGCCAAAATGTGGGCTAAACTAGCTGCCGTCTCCTTCCTGGCTGCGCACGTCTCCGCGCACGGGAATATCACCTCGCCCCCTGCCCGCCTCACCGGGCCGGCGATGGCCAAGGCCTGCGGCCAGGCTGCCGTCGACACCATTCTCGCCGACGGCACCAACCCGATCGAGAAGCTGGTGAACGTACCTGCGACCTGTATGTGCTAGAGACGCCAAGCCTTGGCCCATGAAACCCCCGACCCTGCCAAGCCGGCTGCTAACCAAACGAATCAAAAGGCAACCCATTCCTGTGCCGCGGCGCCCAATTTGACGATAACAAGTCGCGCGTGCAGACCTTCACGCCGGGCCAGGTCATCAACATGAAGGCAATCCTGCCCATCCCGCACGAGGGGCCCTGCAACGTCTCCATCGTCCAGACGGCAACCAACAAGGTCCTAGGCCAGCCGCTCATCGTCTTCGACAGCTACGCCGACGAGAACCTAAAAGTGCTGCCCGCCAACAACACCGACTTCAACATCACCTTCCCGTCCGACCTGCCGCCCCAGACGTGCACCGTCGGCGGGGAGTGCGTCGTGCAGTGGTTCTGGTTCGGCACCAACGCCAAGCAGACGTACGAGAGCTGCATCGACTTTGTCGTCGCCCCCGCCGCCGGAGCCGCTGCAGTGGCCAAGCCCAAGACGAAGCCGCGCGCTCTGTTCTGATAGATAGACAAGGACGGATGATGGTTGTGGCCGAACGAGTCGGGGCTTGGAAATAAAACAAGGATCCAGGCATGTATATGTAGGCAGACATGACATGGCGTTAATGTGGGGGAGGCTGGGCTGTCTTTTTTTGTTCATGGGACGGGACGTGGCATGCCAGAGCGGTCGCCAATTGTAATTGTAGGATGCAGTATCATAGAGAAATTCGTTTAGACCCCAAGTATCAAGGGTTTGCGGAATGTTGCTCGACATGGATGCGTCTGCCGCGGCGAATGGGCCCGTCTAGACTTCCTGGCCTTCCACCTGCACTTTCCATCCACATTTTGACAGTTCATGCAAAGCCAAGTCGTAACCTAGGCATGTTAGACTTGCCTTTACTACTACTAACTTTATTTAATAAAACTTGGTCCCGAGGTGTGATGTATGCGCCAAGCATCCTCCCAGTCACCCTCCCAAAACATCTCCCCCTACAAACAAAACGACTGGCCGTACCAGGGTTCGAACCTGGGACCTTCTCTGTGTGAAAGAGATGTGCTAAACCTCTGTACCACACAACCTTGGTGATATCGTTTGTGGCTGTTGGCATCGCCGACCACACGGCCATTATCCCGTCTTTGCCGGCCTGCCTTTGGCTGTACCAGCTGAAAGGGACAAGACAGCAGGTTGCTTGCTGCCTCTGGGCAAAGGGCCATTGTGGCTTGTCGGCTGGTAAGGTTCCGATGGCGTTGGCTTGACCTCTCCTGAACACGGTCGAGCACCTTTGGCAAAACCGGGGAGGGCAATAGTACCAGGAAACTATGCTTCTTTACTTTAAATCAAGGAATCTTCGGTTTCTCGCATGGGTGTTCTGGACCTCTGGTTTTGTCATGCGGTGCCGGGCGTTGAGGCGGACGGCTCTTTGCTAGAAACCATGGGGTTGTCGCGGAACCTACGGCAAGGGTCCGTCATCTTTCAGAGCCAAAACTCCTCGTGGATGCTTACAACTGAACAAAAGGATGGAAACACGTTGCTGGCCACGGGAGGAATCGAGCTGTGCGGTTCTAGTCTGGACACGGGGCTGCGAAGTGCGTAACAATGAGAGCACTGGCGTTTCTTCGAAGGTGCTTTAGGGCTATATAAATCCTGCTGATGCCCTGGGGATCCTCGTCCACTTGATGTCTATCCATAACCACCGACACATCTTTCCACCCTAGGCTATCCAGCACCCTGGGGGCAGCCTCTGATCCCCACAGAATCAGCATCGTCAACCAACAATCCTTCCACCTCTCGCCTCTTGCCCACAGAAGTCTCCCAGCGGCACCGACAGCACCACGGTTCTGACTTCTGTGCGGGCCGCAGCAGCCATGCCTCCCAAGGCGGCCTCCAAGAAGCGGCGCCGCTCGATCGACGATGACGGCGACGGCCCCAACACCTCGGCCAGGAAGATCAAGAAGCCCCGCAAGACCGGCGGCCGCGCCGTCACTGAGGCCCCGATCGAGCACACCATTACCATCGAGACCCCGCCCAACTTCGAGACCTTGACCTGGGGCATCAAGCAGGGCGTCGTCGTCGCCTCGGTCGAGGTGCGTCTGCGCTTCCAAACGCCCCGCACCCGTAGTTCGGAGCAGGCAGTGCTAGACTGCTTCAGCATCGCCTTCTTGCCCAAGAAGGGCGAGCAGCAGGAACTCTGGTGCAACGTCCGCGAGCCGTGGTCTGAGGCCAACACCGGCGCGCCCCTAGACAACTTCCTCACCTACGGCATCAGCCGCAAGCTGCACGACAAGACCGCGCGCCGTCAGGGACGGCGGCGGCCGCTGCTGAACGAGAACTTCGTCAAGGGGGTCGCGGGCCTGATCGAGGGCATCGTGCACTCGGAACCGGGGAGGAAGTGCGCCGTGTGCGACAAGGCCTTTGATGGCGGGGTCAAGCTCTGGCGCCCGACGCCGTGCTCGGCTGCGTGCAAGGACCGAATGCGGAAAGAGTTCCCGCTCGAAGTGCGCGTCTCGCCGCTGCTGGTGGACCACCTCGTGCTCGACTTCCTGCTGGCTTGCGCGTATTCCATGATCCCCCGGGGATGGGATGATGACATGAACCCAAGCAGACGGGGACAGGATGTTGCCACGGACGCCCCGAATCAGTGGAACTTCTGTTGGGCACCAAAAGTGCCCAAGTCTCTGGGGCATTTGGGTTGGAGCGAGATGATCAAGGCTGTCGCGTCGTTCCCTGCCATCGACGGCTCGTCCACGCTTGCAACCATCGTCGGCACCGACGGGTGTCGCCAGGAGCGCGAGGCCGTCCTTTCCTGGCTCTCGACCGAGTTCCAAGGCTGCCTGGTGTCGGCGTCGCAACGCGCCACCGTCGATTACATCCGACAGGGCGCCCCGATCAAGCCGCTCCACCAATTCATCATACTGAACTCGACCCTCAAGCGCGAGATGGCAAGCAAACAAAACAAGGAGCACAAGATTCCTGGCGTGTCAGTCTTCCATGCCACACCGGCCTACAACATCCTCCAGTTGGTTATGGAGGACCTTCGGATTATTGATAACGGGCGTGGGGCAATCTTCTTCGCGGGTTCCTTCGCGACGTCATCCTGCGGCTACCAAAGGGGCTACATTTTCCGGCCATGGCCGAACAGCGTTTTTGCGAGCGTCGAGGGTTGCCACGAGTTGGTGTTCGGCGCAGAGTTCAGGGGTGAACTAGCGAGCAAGAGCCTCGAGTATATCAACACCTGGTCCGACCAATCTTGGTCAGAGTGGTACACAGCGAGCGAACTAGCCATCATACTTCGCTACGTCTTTCTCAGCCTGCGCTCTTTCTGCGATTCGGATACGGGTTTCCGGCGGTTCGGTCCTTACCAGAACGGTAAGTATGAGGAGTTCCGTCCTGGCAGCGAGACACGTGAGATCATGGAAGATACCTTCCATTTAATCAATAGTGGCAAGGTATCCGAAATCAGAGGCCCCAGCCGAGCTTCATATCAATCTCCGGAAACGAGGACGGCTACAGCGAGCAAGTCTTGCTGTGGGAGAACCTTGTTCTCGAGCTCAGATGGAAGGCCTTCTAGCCTGCTAGAACTTGTGGCCAGGGGTACTTGGCAAACCTCCCAGAGGACTAGCGGCCTTGGATGGGGGAAATGCCATCATTGGGGTGGCGGAGCGTTTTGGCAGGAAAACTAGGCGCGTGATATTCATTGTCGACGGCCAGAGAATGGGATATGGGTTTTGGTATACGGCACGCCGGGGAAGGGGAAACTAACAACGGATTTCATTGTCAAAAGCTCAGGCAGAACAGAGATCTAAGATATCAGTGCGCGAAGTTATCATACTTGGAAACAGAAGGAGACAGCAGCTAGTGTGCCGCATCAACCAAACCTCAGCGAGCTCAATCTTATGCGGACTTTGTCTTCTCGGACACTGGTCCTGGGTGTTTGGTGTTAGGGATGCTTTCCCTAGAAATACACTCAAATAGCCCAAGATTGGACTCGCTGTGATGATCTCCCGGAGGAATTTTTTTTTGTGAGATTTGCTGTCCTCAGTTGTCAGAGCGCTGGTGTAATCGCATGGCTGCGGGACACGCTGCCTATAATTCGTTGGCGGTAGACGTCGCCCGAGCTTTCCTGTTCGGTGAATAACGGAGGTGGAGCTCCACGATGGAAACGGGAAACTGATGGCTGGAGGGTTAGCAGCATGAGCAAGGAGCAAAGGGCAGTGTTGAACTAAGGAAAGGATACACCGGAAGGACGTGGCATGACAAGAAGAACACCCCCAGGCTGGAAAAGAGAGGAACCATAAAGAAATAAACGGATGATTCAGGGTATCGTAAAGTACAAGGAAATCCTAAAAGAGCCAGCGGGCTAAAAAGCACGCTTCCCTAGGGAATAGAAAAAAAAAAGCCCATTGCGCCGGAAAATGCAGCCACGCAATGAATCCAACCGACGCCGCCTTTTTTGTTTCTTCCAACCAAGACAATAAATGTATGCATAAAAAAAAAATAAAACCGCAAAACGCCGTACCTCGCTATGCAAAAATGGACAATAGAAAAGGGGAAATAAGAGATGGATAAGGGAAAGGGAAAAGGAGATATGTAACAGGTAGGTAGTTAGAAAGGAGGACGAGGGAAGAGACACAAGGAAACTGTCAACTCATCGTGTCTAGATAAAAGCCGTAGTGGCCAGGAACAGCGCGGTGGCGAGCGCGACGCCCACAGCGCAACCGGCGCCGACGACGCGGCCCGCAGCAGCCGAGCGTTGCCCCGACCCAGCCGTGGTGGCGGGCCTGTTACCGCCGCCGTTGCCGGCGCCGCCCGTGGTGCTGGTCTGCAGGGTCGTCCAGCCGCCGGCACCGTCGTTGGCCTTGAGGGCTGTGACGAGGGTCTCGCTGGTCGAGGTGGCGACGGCGGAGCTCACGGTCGTCTTGACGTGCGCTTCTCGGACGCGTTGCAGTCGCCCTGCGTCGGGCACGAGTAGAAGGTGCTGGTCCAGGTGCTGGTCCAGACGGTGGTGACGACGGTCGTCGTCGTGCCGCCCGACGACGTCGACGTCGTGGTCGTGTCCGGGGCCGTGCTGGTGCTGGTTACGGTGTTTGTGGGCGCCACGGTCGCCACCACCACCTCGGTCACAGGCGCGACCGAGGTCGTCACGGCGTAGGAAGACGTCACGACGGAGGCGACGGTGCGCTCCGATGACGCGCAGTCGCTCTTGCCGTCGGCGCATGCGCTCGTGGTGCGCAGCGAGGTCGAGTATCCGGTATGGGTCGAGTCGTAGACCCTCGTGGACGTCGTGGTCGTCGAGGGAGAGGGCGCAGGCGCGTTGGAGGTGGTAGAAGTGCTAGAGGTGCTGGATTTTGGGGGCGTAATGGTCGTCGCATAAACGGCCGTGCTAATTGGTACCGTTTCCGTGATCAAGGAGGACGACTTTCCGCCCCGAAGCGGGCAGTCCGGCTTATCAGATGGGCAAGCGGTGATCGTCTTGATGGTGGTGCTGTAAAGGGTTGACGAGCTAGACGTCGTCGTGGGAGTTGGTGCAGATGGGGAGGTGATCGGGCAGACAGTCGTCGAGAGAACAACAACCTCGGTGACAAGGGACTTTGTCTGCTGGTTTAGCGGGCAGTCCTTTTTGTCGGGAGGGCACGCTGAGATGGTGTTTATCCGAGTCGAGTAGATGGTCGAAGTAGTCATCGAGGTTGTTGCGGGCGTTGGCGTCGAGGGGCTGGGCTTGGTGGGGGTAGGCGTCATGGTGATCGGGCATACGGTAGTCGACAACACAACAACCTCGGTGACGAGCGACGTGGTCTTCTGGTTGAGAGGACAGTCCTTCTTGTCGGGAGGACAGCCCGAGACAGTGCTGACTCGGGTTGTGTAGATAGTCGACGTAGACATCGAAGTGGTGGGAGTTGGCGAAGGTGAACTGGAGCTCGTTGTGGAGCTTGACGAAGAAGAGGATTGAGAAGTTGAGGTGACAGGGCAAACAGTGGTTCGAAGGACAACTGTTTCAGTGACCACCTTCGATGACGTCTTTTCTCGAAGCGGGCAGTCCTTCTTATCGGATGGGCAGGCTGAAACAGTGCTGACCCGGGTC